GGGCTGCGGTGAGGAGGGGGCCGAGCTGAGGGTCCCGCTGGAGCCCGGCGCGGCGCTGCCTTCCTCGGCCTCAGTGCTGCCGACACCACCTCGTCTGTGTGTCACGAGCAGCAAACAGAGGCAAAAGCCACAAAATATTTGTGCTTGTAACAAATTCTTATATATATGTAATTTGTCCTTTTTATAGGATAAGGGTATGAGAGACGTCACCTCGTTGCAAAGACGTCGTGGCCAGCCTGAGGGCCGGGTGCTGTGCACCCAGCCATGGCCTTGGGCTCACACCGCTGTGAAAATCCATTCCAGAAAGTTCCTGGTGCGAGCGGGGTCTGCACGGGATCGGGGACTCGGTGAAGAGCGGAGAGCGAAACGGGCTGTAATAGAAAAGCAACAGACCTGAGGGGTGAAACTACACCTGAGACACCTTCATTTTGTATTTCTGAGCCTGTTCTCCGTTTTTCAGTGCTGTGGTTGCATCCTTCCAAATAGAGCGGTGATACGGCTGACAGCAATAACAAAAAGCAGCTGCAGCTATGAGGTGCTAAATAAATATATGTGGCCAACTCCAGCTTTCATTTCCTTCGGTGGAAATGTGATTGAGCCTTAACTCGTGAATTCTCGCATCGGCTTATCACAACAAACAAATGGCAAGGAACCATGTCAGGAGACGATGTGTGTGCTTCAGAGCTATTTCATACAGAGAAGACAATGCCATTAAACTGTTGCAAAGCTGAGTGACAAATGGAATATTTGTTGAGATTGCTTTGGATTTGGGTAATTCAGAAGAGTCTAAATTTTAAAATTTCAGACTTTTCATAAGGGAACAAGTGCTTGGCAGGATTTCATTAGCCCTGCATTGCCCGAGAGAACATAGTTTCAGTATAACCAAGCTTGGCCTCCTCTAAATACTGTTTACGAATGCAGCTGAGGTTTAGGGCATTGTGAAATACCATGTGAAATGTTCATTCATAGCTTCAGCACGTTGCATTGCTGATGTGATATCACACTGCTCTATATGTGAGCTGTAGCAGGGGTTTTTTTTCCACGCATGACAGCATTCGTTTCAAGTAGACTAAAGCGTTGCTAAACTTTGTAAAGCTCATACAGAAGACGACTAGTCTAGGTGTCCCTGGCTGTTAATTCATTGATTTTCATTAGCGCAGAAGCGAACTGTGAGGTCTTGAGTTGGTACCAAATTTTTTATCAGTAGCAAAGCCAACTTAGGGATTCAATCCCTCCTCATGTGAGAAGCCAAAGAAATGTGAAACTGCAGAGGGCAGGGTTTCTATGAAGTATTTTTCGGACCCATACGCATTTGACAGGCTCCAGCTCCAATGTCAAAAGGACACCAGATCCTCTGCTGACCCTGGCAGTTACCTTCTGAAGGAGTAGTTGGTAAATGACATGGGGCCAACTGATGAATGTTTGTCTGAGAAGTCTGAGTGATTTGCATGTGCCCCTAGAGGCCACTCTAGGTGTAATTTTATTAAATGAAAACTTGTACAATAGAATAAACCGAGTGTTTGTATCTTGAATACAGTGAATTTATGGAAGCATAAAAGAAACTGTAAATGTGCTTTATTTTTATATTTATTTTGTAGGACAAAGTAGACATTTATATCACACTGGAGAAAATACAAAAGTCAGAAAAATCAGTGTCACTTAGTCAAAAAGTCAGAGTGGAGAGTGGTTTCATATTCTCAGGGAGCAGCAAGAGCAGGGCAGCTCCACATAGGAAGACGAGTGGGCACCGAGCGTGGCCCCAGCACAAGCCATGCCCTCTCTTGTCAGAACGTAATCCCACAGGATCCAAACACAGTGGACATATCCCGGCAGTGGTTACAAGGTCCACCGACAGCCCCAGGTAGTGCGAGGGGATGAGTCTGGAGGGTCCAGCCACGAGCAGCAGAAGACAGTGCTAGGACATAGGTCCAAGGTCCATCCAGGAGGCAGGGCTGGAGACAGGTACGCCTGTGCTCAGATGGACTGACGAGCACTGGGGTGAGTGAGTGGGAGTCCCAACTGAAGCTGTTCAGGGCAATAAAGTCCTATCAGTGCATCCAGAGCCCTGAAAAACATCTACTGCAGGATCTAAGAATATTGCTCTTGCATGCATGCTGTGTTAACACCCACCCGCCTCACCTGCTGCAATGCAGTTTGCTCCATATGCATACACATAGCTCCATACGCATAGCTCCATCTTTCTCATCTCCTTGTTGCACGTTCCATGAGATTTTTTGCTTTCTCCTCATCACAGTTCTCTGCCTTTTGATTGTTCCTTTTCCCCTCTGCAGCCATATGTACACATTGCTTCCAGGTACAGCTGGACTGCAGAAGTCCAATTGTTCATCAGACTGCAGTCTACTAAAAAGATGTCATTACTCAACATTTTCTTCACTCTCCGCAATCAATATCAATCCTTTCTACTTTTTATTTGAAATTCGGTATGTAGGGCCATTTTGTCTGTATATGTAAGAATCACCAATGATACATATTCCATTTTCCAAGAAAATGAGTTTCTTTTATTCTCAGTGTATTTGTTAATAAACAAAGAAGACTGTGAATATGGATGCCCTGGGGAATTAAAAACCAAGAATCCTAGAAATACAGGTGTAGAACTGACCTCTAGTCTATCCCCATGCTCTAAGAAGAGAATCATTAGTACATATAAATTATGTCTAAATACATATATCTCCAAGCATATGTTGCCCTTAAGCACCTTTCACACATCAGTTCTGAGTATAGTTTAAGTAAACCACCGCAAACCGGGAATGTGCCTAGCTGCTTCCGACAGAAGGTCATGGATTTTCTCCTAGCATCCAATTTATATTTCCATCCTTCTTTGTGCAAGTAAAATCTGAATCATAACGTACATGTACAGTGAGCCAATCTCAACATGGTTTATGTCTCCTCTAAGATGTCCTGTAGGTTTGTCTATATTGCTTTTTGCTTCCAAATGGGGGACAGAGAGGGAAACATCAGAGGAGACTACACCTGAGCAGAAGTACGCTTAAGTTCCGGCATTGGTATGGAGTGGGGGTGAGCTTTCCGAGGGTGTGCAAATACCTTCTTTTTCTTGTAAATGGACTCCATAGAAATTAGAACAGCAACACAAAGGTAGTCATGTTTGTTAAAAATATGGACAAAGTGTGATTAAATCCACATTACAGAGAAATTTATTTATAGATTCTCTCCTGGGCCTGCCTGTTGGTACCAAAGAACAGGAAAAATCTTGTCGTTCATACCTGCCTGTTGTGAGATGGCACACCCTGATCTTTTTCCTTTTTCTCTATGAGTGACTAGGAGCAAAACCATCTTCTACATGTAGCTTGTTGACACCTTGGCACTGAGCGGAAGAAAATCAGGAACGAAGATTTGTTGGGGAGCAACAATGAAAAGAGAAAGTAATTCCTTCCCAACAGTGATAAAGATCTCGAGCTCATGTCATGCTGGGTGCTAAGGATAACATTACTGAGGTGACTTTTGAACTTTTAAAATCATGGAGCTACTGGTACCTTACTATAAGGAGACTAAGACACTCTGCCTTTGTCAGGGACAAATTTTATAGTTTTCATAAACACTCTGCATATTAAAAAACCTCAATGCTATTTTAAAAGGAAATAAATATTGTAAATGCTGGTTTTACCCTTTAAGTGAGCACCGTTTTACATCTACAGTCTTTTCTATTGTCAAACTAGTCCCCAAACAATTTAACTTCTGATGCATTGTCCTTCTGGCCCCACTTTGTGCATATATTCCTTTTTTAGGCAGGGTAAGCAATCAAAAGTATATTTGGCAATTGCTCAGGACTGTAGGGTATGATGGCCAAATTGTCACCATCTAACCATTACTTTCCATTCCCTGTGCAATTAGAATAAAGTGTCCTAAACTTTTATGCTGACTTGCTGAACTCAGATGAAAATCTAAGATGCACTGACAGCGCCTCATTATGTGCTGCATTTCTTCCCAAGATGCAGAAACATTTTTTACAAGAGTGTATAATAAATGAACAGTAAATAAGTTAGAAATACTTTAATTTACGGGAGATGAGCCTTGAGATTAGTCCAAAGGTTGTGATAGGCCAATATCTGATTTCTAGTAATGCTATAGTAAGGTTTGCTATCATGTGGACTGATGGTGGGTGGTAATTTATTTTTAAAAAATTTATTTACTCTGGGTAAAACACTGAAAATTAAATCTGTTCTATCAGAGAAGGTACTGGCAAGACTGTAATGTAAAAAGCACTTCACTTAAGCACTTCCTTT